CTTCATCTTGGCCTCTCTATCCTTCCCTCCAATGAGCAGTCAGGCTTTATTTCCTGAAGTATGGACTGGTTGGATCTTCTGACAGTCCAAGACAATCTTAGAACTTTCCTCCAACACCACAGTTCAAAAACATCTCTCTTCCTTCGCTCAGCCTTCCCTATGGTCCAGCTCTCACATCCATAGGTGACTATGGGGAATACCATTGCTTTAACTATACGGATCTTTGTTGCCAGTGTGATGTCTCTACTCTTCACTATTTTATTGAGATTGGGCATTGCTCTTCTCCCAAGAAGTAAGTTCTCCTGATTTCCTGGCTGCAGTCTGCGTCTGCAGTAATCTGGCACCTAGAAATACAAAGTCTGTCACTGTCACTGAAGTCGAGCACCCCCCCCCCCCCCCCAAAAAAAAAAGGGATAGTGACTTATAGTTCTGCAAAGGGCAAGGGCACCAGACTGCACAGTAGGGGTTAAGTCTTGGTCACATTGCCAAGGCACTAACAACAAGGACCCCACGAGGCTTTTGGGGAACAGCTGGATCTTGGGACTTCTGCCCTTCATGAGAGGGCAGAGGGCGGGAGTTTTGGAACTTTCAAAACTGGATATTCCTATAAAAATGCCTCTGATCTCTGTACTGGTATGCCTTGCATGTGAGCTATCACTGCATTGCATCCGCTTCAGCTGAATCGCTCATTAAACCTCAATGTCTCTTCTTCGCTTTGGCAAGAGTCTCATTTCAATTTTTAATATTAATAAAATTGCTGGAATCAGGCTTCTCTGAAGGCTCGCCAAAATAGCGTTCCCTCTTTGGTGGGAACTAAGGGTCCTCTCCCCTTGGAGTCGACCCTCCAAAAGTTCCCATTGACTTCACCACCACGTTTTCTCCCTCTATTTTCCAGTTGTCAATCACTCTTGTTGCCATAATCTTGGGTTTTTTGATGTTTAACTGCAACCCAGCTTTTGTGCTTTCTTCTTTCACGTTGATTAAAAGGCTCCTCAGCTCCTCCTCGCTTTCGGCCATCAAAGTTGTATCATCTGCATATCTAAGGTTGTTAATGTTTCTTCCAGCAATTTTTACCCCAGGATTACTCTGTGTGCAAAGAATTGCAGCTTAAAGCTCTCTGCAACACGCAGAATCGGCACTTTCTGTTTTGTGGCCACCTTTCTTTCCTGTGTCTTTACTGGTGGAATCAGCACTTCATAAAACAACATCAGACACAGATGTTTCTTGGTGTGTTAAGTTCCAAGGAGGTGAAGTCAATTAGACTGTAAGTTTATACTGTACATAAACACTGCACTTGGCACCACTGCGCTTAGTAATACCAATGGAAAGATCTGTTGGGTAATTAGTCCAACAGGAATCTTGGCACATATTTTTATTCGCTAGAGAAAAGATTGGGCTGTCTGCAGCCAGAGAACCCCTAAAAAAGATTAATTTATTTCCAGTATACATTACTCTTGAAACCCGCACACACAAAGAACTTTTGCACAAGGATGTTGCTCACATCTGGAGAACAGGTTGGTCATTGCACATCTGCTTGCAATGTACTTACTAAATAACAAGCATGGCTCTGGACTGACTGATAGCCAAACATCAAATGCCAAGGTCTCCATTTCAGCTAGTTCTGAAGGTTGGATTTGCTTGATTTTTCAGGCACATGGGTTTTGGTACACTTAACTGGCACAGAGACAGGATCCAGTGGAATTCTATGTTTAGTTTTGTGTAGCAGGGCGGTTTTTGGCACCATGTTCACGCTGATGGCAGTACAGGCTACAGGCAATAAAAGTAAAGCTCTTTAGTTGTTCCAGCTGGATGGAGATCTCAGTCTACCAAATCTTAATCATATAAAATGTAGATAGTATGTCAAGGAAATTCTGAACTCCTGTTGGGGGATTTCCCATGATAGGTGTATAAGGCGTGAGAGAAATCAAAGTCTCAGAAAGTAAGATAGTTGGAATCTGTCAATAGAGGTGGATACCATGGTCTAGCTAGTTCTGGCGACCAAGGCTTTTATCTG